CCTAGGCACTGTATCTATTAGCTAAGACAACCCTGGTAATTGGTATTATGTACCTAGTAATCAGTACCTACCAATGTTATTATAGGTACAATATACTATTAAATCGAACGACCTTGGAAAAAAYTTTAAACTAGATTTTCCATTAACCTGTTATGATAAATAATAATTATAATTACATTAATTGTAATACGTCAATGTCAATTTTCAGTCTGCTAACGTTAGCAATGTGCCGATAACTACAGAAATGTCAGAAAAAATACAGCGAGTACTGTTGCTCATTAGTGTTATCAATTGTCAATYGTGTCCACTGTCCAGTAATCGCGTACTATCACTACAATCAGTATTCAGTAATTCAGTATTCACTACAATAGWACAATAATAATAATCATAACAATTATTATAATTATTTCCTGTTCTTCTAAAATCTAAATTATAATAATTGCTTATTCATTACTACCATATTTAGTTCTTAGTAATTGGATTATTATATTTTCCCTCATACCTTTAATTTAATGGTAGTTTATTAGTATAATATTGTAGTCGTTCTTTTTTTGCTATATTATCCTTCAAAATCCAATAKCAAAAATATGTCAAACGATGTGGAAGATATTGATGGCAACAACATTCTTGCACAAGCATTAAAACATCAAGTTAGTCTTTTATTCATGATATTTTGTATGCCAGGATAGCTTCTAGCTAAATAAACGGTTTTGTTTCCAAATGTATAGGATATCCAATATGTTTTTGGCATTGTTGGTATTCCAGTCATTGAATTTAGCATGGCCCTGCAACAAGTCGGTATAAAATATATAGGAATGCGCAATGAACAATCTGCAGTATACGCAGCCCAAGCAATCGGATATCTTACTCGTACACCAGGTGTATGTCTAGTGGTGTCTGGCCCCGGATTGCTTCATGTCACTGCCGGAATGGCCAATGCACAAATAAACTGTTGGTCTGTTACTTAGAATTCTCTAATAATATGTGATGTAAAAATTGTTTCATAAAAATAATTATGGTTTAGGCCTTTATTAGTAATTGGCGGCTCTTGTGCCGAAGATCATGAAGGAATCGGTGGGTTTCAAGAATGTAACCAAGTCGAACTCAGCAGACCTTATTGCAAGTACAGTGCAAGGCCCCCAAATGCTGCTCTTATACCTGTTCATGTTGAGAAAGCTATACGTTATACTACTTATGGTAGACCAGGTGATAACAATTATAATTTTTTTTAAGAAAATCCATAATTACTTAAATTTTGTTTATAGGTGCTGCGTATTTAGATTTTCCTGCCAATCTTTTATCAGCTCGAATTTCTGTAGATAGGGTTATAAACAAACCAATGATCTCACAACCTCCAGTAATTTTTCCTGATCTTCGAAATATTGAATCTGCCGCTGAACTGTTAATAAATGCTGAACGTCCTCTTGTTATTATAGGCAAAGGTAATCAAATTATACTAAAAAATATAATATTAGTATATATATATAATATATATTATGTATTTAGGTGCTGCTTATGGACATGCAGAATATGCTATAAGAAATTTCATCGGACAATTTGGCTTACCGTTTTTAGCCACACCAATGGGTAAAGGTGTAGTGCCTGATGATCATGTTATGAGTGTAGCATCTGCACGTACTTATGCCTTGCTAAATGCTGATGTTATACTGTTGCTTGGTGCTCGATTAAATTGGATTCTACATTTTGGTAAACCACCACGGTTTAATGCAGATGTAAAGTTCATTCAGATAGATATAAGTGCAGAAGAATTGCATAATAGCCAACAAGCTAGTGTAGCAATTCAAGCAGATATGCATGCTGCAGTTAATGCTTTGAATGTTTGTTTATCTAAAAAAAAATGGCAAAATACAAGAAGCGAATGGTTAGATAAACTTAAAGAAAAATGTTTGTCAAATAAAAAATATGTAAAGGTAAGACATTATATAAATAAACATTAGTTTAAGTCAAGTTCTTATTATTTTTATTTTTTTTGTAAGGAGAACCCGTGGCAACATAGGGCATTGGGTGTGGGGTGGTACGGTAGGGGTTATTTTTGTATATTTGTTTGTAGGTTTTTAAGTGGGTAGGGTTGTAACACGTGTTTGTGTATGTGTGGCAAGGATATGTTGCTAAAAATCCCGGGTGGTCACCCATGCGGGAGCTGGCAACTGCGGCCGGTACATACGTTCAGTGCGTTTCCGTAGATAGAGCGTACGACCAAGCCACTCAAGTTTTTATGTTTAGCATTTCAATTCCATTATTCATAGGAACTTGGTTCAATAGATAATTCTTATAGTTTTTTTATCGGTATCATATACTCTTCAAAAGTTTTTACAATCATCATTATATCACTTTATTAACTACACTAAGTATAAATACAAAGGACAAATTTTATATTTTCATAAATACCAAATTGTGTGTAAAAAATAAAGCTTATTTTTATTTTCAGTCAATGATGAAAGACACATCTATACCATTAAACTACTACACAGTTTTTCAACATATATATGATAATATTCCAAAAGGTTGGTTTTATTTCATATATTTATAACTTTTTGAAACCTGTGGTGTATAAATTCATTATTAATGTATTAATAGTTAAAAAAATTAATAATAATACAATAATATTAACTATTAAGAAGTATTTATAATACAGAGATTTAGTAATTTACATATATATATTTTTTTTTTACATAATGGTATTAAATGTTTGAAACATAAAATTCAACTTTTGTAAAAAAAATAATGAAATAATATTTTTCAAGCAAWACTATACAATTTTAAATGTTAAAATGTTATAGTTATTATTTCCACATACTGATTAATACAGTTGAGTCTCGATAACTCGAATTTCAAGGGAGATAAAAATTAATTCGACTTATATATTTTTAAAGTTATATAATTCAAATTTTTCTTAAGATATGAACTAATTCGAGTTATACATGTATCATATGTATATTTATAAACTGCAATTACTAGATTACATTTCAAAATTAATTTCCTGTATAAAATGCATTTATTAATTAATTAATAGTGGTTTAATTTTATTTGTACCAGTCGTATCTGATCCTAAAAAAACTGTTGCTCTTTCTTTGCTGTTTTTTCTTCTGAACAATTTTCTGCTTTTAAAACAAATGTTGGATTCTAATGATAAAATTTAAGATATGACTGAGTTATCTATGCTCAACTAATTTTGCATTTAACTTATCGTGACAAATATTGTATTGAGTGTATAGGAATTTCCTAGKGACAAAAAAAAATTTGAGTTATAAAGACTACTGTATTATTAAAGTAGTTTATACATATTATGCCCAATAAGTTGAATTAAAAAACTGAGTTCAAATTTTTCTTTATCTAGTWATTATTTTAATACTTCTTCATTCATTTATTAATTACATAATATGGGAACAAAAATTTAAAATGTATGCTTTTATATGGCATAAACTCCGTTAATATGTAAGCCTAGTAAAAAGATATTAATTACTCTTTCTTTGAGATAAAATTTTATTTATTAAACATTTTTATAAGTAACACTTCTATATTTTAGTACAAGAGTATGTGAGAAAAAAATAACATGATGAACTTGAAAAAAATTAACCACCAAATTAGTGATACWTCCTTATTCTGATACAAATTACAAAACTAAAAATCAAGAAATTTATTTATCTATAGATTGTATGATTGTAAGCGAAGGAGCAAATACAATGGACATTGGTAGAGCTGTATTATTAAACAATTTACCTAGACATAGACTTGATGCTGGTAAGATAAATACTAGTTGATAACAATGTTATCAATATTTAATATGAATAATTTCATTTTTAGGAACATTTGGTACAATGGGAGTTGGATTAGGATTTGCTATTGCTGCAGCCTTATGGTGTCAAAAGTATGAACCTGGAAAACGAGTCTTGTGTGTTGAAGGTGATTCAGCGTTTGGATTTTCTGGAATGGAAGTGGAAACAATGGTCAGGTTAGTCAAAAAAATAAGTTTTTTTTWAAATTTAGCTATATACTAAAATGTTAAGTAGCTAATTTTTTCTAATATGTTGAAATTAGAAGGATGTTAGACAACCTATGATTTTTGTTTAAACTTTTTATTGGATTTTGTAGTCTGTCCAGTTATTTTTATTTTTTAAATTTCTGTATTACTTATTTTAAAACTAAGTACTTTAATTTACATTTTATATTTACTCATACAAAACAAATTATGCTTTAACCACTCGCCTGCTTCTATGARCCCTATAAATATAATTATGTCCATTGTTAATGATGTAAAAATATAATTTTTTAACTCTAATTCTTGTTTTATTAAATTATTTAATGTTTTTTAAATAAAATWTAAATATTGAGCTTAATTTTTATTTGTTATTGTATCATTATTTCATGTGTACTCTATGACTATTAGGTATTCTAATTTTATTTGTTTTCGTGCTTATATACTTGTGTACACAATTTTTAAATTTTTTGTAATTGAGTTTTCTACCCTTGAATAAATAAAAAATTATTTTTTTCATAAAATTGAATTCTATAAAATTTAGATAGATGCTAATTATTAATTTAAATTTAAAAATCAACTATCGTTTTAATGATTTTAATAAATATTATTATACTTTAAGTTTTTGATATCATAATTTTAGGTATAAATTACCAATTGTCATCATCGTTGTCAACAATAATGGCATATATGGAGGTGTTGATGAGTCCACTTGGTCTTTGGTGCAAGATTCTGATAACTTAGCTGGAGTGTATGTATACAGATAATATAATATGTTATATATTTTAACTTATATTTTGTTTTTGGTGATTTTTAATTTTTAGTATTCCCCCAAATTGCCTATCTGTAAACATACATTATGAAAATATGTTGACTTTATTTGGTCGCAAAGGATATTTTTGCACAACTGTTGAACAAGTTTCCAATGCAGTAAAAAAWGCTTTTATGGTAAATATATTTAACTTGTTTAAAAAAAAAAAAAAATAATGGCTAAATGACCATACATACAGATTTGTTCTCCTTGTCTTTTATTACATAATCAAAATAGTATAGTATTTAATTACCTAACAACGCTTAAATAATCTTATAATTTGCTTTAGTATTAAAATATTGTAAAATATTTAATAGCTGAACATGATATTTTATTTAAATTTATTGATAGGTAAATATATTCTTAATATTAAATAGGAAAAAATTGTTTAATTATAATAATAATAAAGATCTTAAYACAGATTGTACTTATTGAAATAACTGAGTATATATTAATATTATAAGCCTTATTATGAAAGCTAACTGCTAATATATTTAATAACCCTTGAATATCATAATCATACTATACATACTTGAATTGTKCAGCAYACTGATATGATTAATTGTTTTTAATAGGATACGAGTGGACCTTCGTTTATTAATATAATGATCAATCCATCTGCTGATCGCAAGCCACAAAATTTTGCCTGGCTGACTGAATCAAAATTGTAAATTTTTTTATTACTGTTATTGCCATTATTGCCTTACACTAAATTATCAACATATTTGCCAGTGAAAAGRATATCCTTTATTCTGAATGTAGCACCATTTAAAATTTATCAAACAATCCAACTAGTTGGTCATAATTGATAAAAAAAAAGAAAACATCTACACAAGGAAAATAATGATATAAATTATTGTGGATCCAGAACATTTTAAATGTCAATTTCTTTTTTAATTGTGTTAAATTTATTTATATATTGGTGTATTTTGTGATTCATTTTTATRTATATATATATATTTAATATGTAAGTTGAGTTTGTACCTATACATTTTATTTAAATATAACTGTTAAAAATATAAATTTTGGCTTTTATTCTATTCCAGTTTATCATAAATGACAATTAGTTTTGAAAAATRTCTGGTTCATATTTTAGAAAACTATTAATAGTAATAACAATCACATTATATCAGTATAAAAGTATAAAATCTAGTATTTAATGTTATCTTATACAGCATTTAATTGTAACTTAATTTAAAAACTTTCATTAAAATACACGATGTTAGGTGTAATATTCAGTTTTAAAAATAATCTTCTTAAAAAATTTCTCAAATACTTTGTAAATAAGGGTTTTTTCTTTGTCTTAAATTTCTTTAATATTAACATAAATAATATAATATAAACATAACATTTTTCAAATAATTATTACATAAGAGGATGTAACACTAGCATTTGTYGTGTCTGTCTTAAGTGTTTAACATAGCAAATTTACACCCAGCAGATCACAATTAGCTTTATTAGTTTAAAAATAAGAGTGAATTTACCTATCATGAAACTTGATGGTAAGAACATTATTTGTGTTTATTATGGGGTTTTTTTTTTTTGCGAGATATCGGTTTATAATTGAGTTATGAGCATATTTAATTCATACTAATATTATATATGTAAGACTTGCTAAAATTGGTTTTCTTAAGAAAATCCACATATAGAYWTAGATAATGTTCTTACCATCAAATTTTATAATTGGTCGATTCACTTTAGYTTTAAGTTAATGGAGCTAAAAAGCTGAGCGTATATTGGTACATTAGCTATATTTCATTGTTTCACAGGTGTAAGATGGAGACAGCAAATGCTAGCGAAACGTCCTCTTAATAGCATTRATTAATTTCAAAATAATTATACGTATTGTGCTTATTATCATTAAACTAAATAAACACTTAAACTATAAATTGTAAAATATCCAAGACCCACTAGCCCATATTACATCGCTTACACATTTGTCAAATATTCAATTTCAGTAGTTTCGGCGTTTGAGTGTAATACCTTGTTGAGTAGGTCACAGACCACAGTAATTGATATGTAACTTTGAATATATTTTCTATGATATGAAATCGATGATAAATCATTATGTAAAAGTACTATTTACTGTACAAGAACTGATTCAGAACAAAACATTTGATCAAAATTTGCTTAGGGTGGTTAGATGCATTTWARCCTTTTAGCCAAAATAATTATTTAAATAAAAATAATTATAGGTTTGTGATAAACAAATTGCTATGATGGGTGATAGCGTGATACCACAGAATATATGAAATAATAAAAATAAATAATATTATAAATAATTGCATTTATTCTGTGGTGATCTGTCTCTAGACCACAGTCTTAGAAGATGACTCAGTTTTAAATTGTACAAATTATGTCTATTTTAAAAACACATTGAGTATGATTGAGTATGTCATACGTATAATATATGAATATGTAGAATATCAAATAATGCATTAATGTATTATACAGGCCACAGGGTGTCCCAAAGAGATCTGACATTCTAACAAATGAAATAACTTTTGTTCTAATCAATATTTTTTAAAAATTTCTTTTAAATATAATCAATAGACACTTGCGCTACATTTTTATTTTTTAATACTGAAAATAAAAAACTTAAAAATCGATAATTTTTTTTTCGAAATATTCAATATAGCCAATTTGTAAATTCGATTTACAGAAAAATKTATATTGTAAAAACACTTATTTAAGTCAAAAGGCTGATTTTTTACAATTTTTTTAAATATCAATATTTTCGTTAGGTAARTTAYWGTAATTTATAGTTTATACATCACATATTATTAAAATAAATACAATTAAAAAAATAATTAGATTTTAACATGCACTTATTTAAAAATGTTCTAATAAAATATTTTTAAAAAACTTTATTATTATTTGAAATTACAAGGTTTCTAACATAAAYTAGATCGTAATTTACTTAACGAAAWTATTGATATTTAAAAAAGTTGTAAAAAATCAGCCATTTGACTTAAATAARTGTTTTTACCAAATACATTTTTCTAAAAATCAGATTTACAAATTGGCTATATTGAATATTTCGAAAAAAAATTTTATCAATTTCAAGTTTTTAATATATGTATATTATATTGTATAATATGTTTTTTATAGGAAGCAATACGAGCGAAACTGAAAGAGATGAATGCAAATAGCAGTAAGTAATAATGATCATAGACACATAGTTATTCATGTTTTCATAATTTAAAATAATAAATATTTATTATTTTTAATCACATTTTTTTTGTTAACATTTGTCAAGAACGATATATTACAACCAGATTATGATCAGTTGTAAGCTTATATTTCTTTAAACATAATTTTGTGGCCGACACTAAATTTTAGTGAACAATTAATTTAATGAATTTTTTGCAACTTAAAAAATACCTAAGTATTCATTTATTTTATGTAGTAGGTAATAAATAATGCAGTTATTCAAAAAAATTTGTCATTGTAAATAACTCCGTATATTGAAAAATAAAATGCAGTTCATGCTTGGTGAATCGCCCTGTTGGCTGTTGTAATAAAACCATATTTTTAAATTCTTGAAATACATTACTTAAGGAGTGTTCTTAGGAGATGGGAACTTCTATTAACCCCCCTTTGCAAATGTAAATAATTGTAGTAGGTACATAATTTTTCTGATATTTTTTTTTCGTACAGTATAAATTCATAAGGGTAGTTTTTRATTCCATTATAAAATGAAAAWTTGGGGATGAGCATGGTCGSTGAATCACACTGTACATAATATTTCTGTTTTCTAATTTTTATTASGATAATATAATGACTTATTTATTCATCATTGTGATATTAATGATTTTTCGTTTGCCGCTAAAGTATTTTAAATTTTATACATAACCTTAATAAAGTTCAGATCGAGGCGCCCAATAAATAGCGGCGAAAAACTCAACTAAAATGTCCTCTCTAGACCGAATTGATTAACATTGTTAAATAGGGAAGTGTCCCGACCTTATCAGCTTCTAAGACCGTCCGGTGCTCGTCACAGAAATAAACATTGACATTATTTTAATCAATTGTTATTCTGAGGCATAGTCGCATAGATAAGGTGTTTATTTTGGTTTTTGTATGTTTTTTTTTTTTTTAGGAAATTTTAAGTTCTAATTTAAAATTTAAAATTTAAATAGTATATTATTATAACTAATACCTATAACTTATAGTTTATATCTATAATAGTAAATTAGTAAATATATATTCATATAAATAAATTATAGCTTCGCCGGTGATCAGAATACACTTAACACTGAGAAATTGAGAAGTACGGTACGAGTGTGTGTACGACATTACTATATCTTATCAAAAATTCGTAAATACTGGACCCTCACACTTCACAGTTGTTGTTGTCTCCGTTTCAAACAATAATTACAAATTTTAACCATGGACAATTTACGTAACGAAGTCATTATAAAAGTTAAAGTAAGTTTTTCGATCTAATTATAAATTAAATCGTCTGGTTATGAAGTACMTATTATTTAATATTTCGATTAACTGTTATTCGAAAAATTTGAAAAATATCACTGATATATCATTAATGTTCAAAGAAGAAAATGAAATTTATCGATAAGTATTGATTTAAATCAAATATTTAATATATTTCTAGTGCAATTTACCAGCTAAATATACCGAACTGTATCGAACCTTAATACAAGTTATTATTTACTCTTTTCGATGCATACCTWCCGGCTACCTTTCATATTTTGTATTAACTATGATACAAATGAAACAAATTTTTTTTCATTATATRCATAATAATAGGCCYTCATTTAATTTATTACATACGTTAAAGCCTTTTAATAATTTTGCAAATTTTGTCTTGCCATATTCTCGGTCTAAATATATATTATATTGTATAATATGTTTTTTATAGGAAGCAATACGAGCGAAACTGAAAGAGATGAACGCAAATAGCAGTAAGTAATAATGATCATAGACACATAGTTATTCATGTTTTCATAATTTTAAAATAATAAATATTTATTAGTTTTAAACACATTTTTTTTGTTAACATTTGTTAAGAACAATATATTACAACAAGATTATGATCAGTTGTAAGCTTATATTTCTTTAAACATAATTTTAGTGAACAATTCATTTAATTAATTTTTTGCAACTTAAATACCTAAGTATTCATTTATTTTATGTAGTAATAAATTTAATATTTTTCCTATTGTTAACTTTCTGCCTTTTTATTATTAATTTGTTATTATACATTAATGTTTTTAAATTATTTTTGTTAATTTTTTAGGCGATGAGATTATTGATTATATTATGCTGTTAGTTACTACTAAAAAATCTAGCTCCGAGTTAGCTAAAAGTATTGATTTTGTTATGGAGAGTAATACAACTGTTTTTGTGAAATGGTTGTCAACCATTATTAAAAAATTGCAACAAGTGACAGTCAGCACTACAAACCAGATTGAATCAGGTAATTTTAATAGCTTAAAATTATATTTTGCTCTATTTTTTTAAATTTATTATATTCATGTCAAGCTTATTTATATAGCTAGTATGAGTGAAAAAATACCATTCATTTTAGAATAACTATAAGTTAGGTTACAATATAGACAACCACTCATCTGTAAATATAAATACATTATGTTTGTACTTTTATTATATTTTACATTATATTCAAGACCGGATAGTCCCAGTCAGTTGCAGAGTTCAGCTCGGTAAACTGTTAGTATACATAAGAGGTATTCAAACATTTTCATCCCGCGGCTCCTTTGGGTATTTGCAATATTTTGATGGCTCCCAAATTATTATTGAAACATTGAAAGAACACACAGATATGGCCAATATGACTAATTTAACAGTGACGACTAGAAATAAAACTTCAAATGACCATATGATGTGTTTCACTGTTTTCATGATAGTTACAAATAATATTTACAATAATTACACAAGTCCTATGTACAATGTTGGTTTCCAGCATTTTGACGTGGCTCACTTTACAACCTCTCGCGCCGCACAGTTTGAATACCTCTAATATAGATGAACATTTTTGACTACCTAAAACTCTTAAAAGTGAAATATAAATAATAATAATTAATACATTTTTTGCCTTATTTAAAGATGAGATGAGCTGTTAACTTGTTTAGAACCAGTTATAATCCTAAAACTTGGTGGCCAATTCATTGCCTATCTGGAAACTAGTTATATTTATTATTCTAAAGAATGAAAATACATTGATCATACRTGTTACTAAAATAATTATGAGAGATGGTATATAATTTTCAATTTATTAATTGTTTATTGCCAGTTGTTATTGCAGGAAAATGTTCTTATTTTGTCATTTAGTTATAAGAGTTAAGACAAAATGTTTGTTTTACAATATTTTTAGAAGTTATTAGTATTAAGAAATCTGGTTTATGGTATTTCTGTTGATTATTCAAACCACAGTTCTCATAAAAATGAATTAATAATTATATTTCATAATCATCAACTTACAGTGGTCAAAGTGGAAGGGGGATATGGTGGGATAACATCCCTCCGATTTTTACAATTTACATTTTCCATCCATCTACTTATTATCCTCAAAACAACACATTCCCCCCCTATAATTATATACAATGATTATCGATTTATATTGGTGTTTTTCATAAAAATTGTATTTATGATGATTTTTAAAAAAATAATTTGTATATATATTTTAAAATGTATGATAAATATTATATTAATATATCAACAATTAAGACACCAAACTGAAAAACGAAAATGCATATTTATATATATATATATTAGTATTATAAATAAGGTATAGGGGCTCAACTCATCTCCACCTCCAATCATAGTTTATATTTTCATTAGCTGTTAATTTAATTTAAAACAATTTTCCATCAGTTTCTTTTGRATATTATAGTTATTACATATTATGTATAATTGGATTAAATAGTAATAATATTTATATTTTTATAGATAATCTCCAAACATCTGAAGAAAATATTACAACCAACAAAAAAAATGAAATTGATAATATTTCAATCAGTGAAACTAGTGATATAAAGTTGAACAATACCGTTGAAGAAAAAGAAGATCTTAATTTAAACATTGATAATACAAATAATATACAAACATCTGTTCGAGAAAGTATGCTTATCCTTGTTTATTAAACATTAGTACATTTTGTTATACATTTAACTTGGCTTTATCTGGAAGTTATCATGTATAAGTATGAAAAAAGTAAGATACAGAGAGTAGCTAGTTAGGCTTTTGTTTCATTCAAATCACCTGGGCAAACAATGCTAGATAATGTTATAACTCATAACTATTGTTATTGTAAATTTATTAGCAATGATGGATCTTTACATTTGAAAAATATAAGTGGAAATCAGTGAACTATGGTGTTATTATATACCTATATATAATTTTCAAATTTTAATTGCTTATCAAATGAACTGAGAGTAAAAAATTTGCAAATATAATTTAGTGTGTACTTTGAAAAAATAAAACAATCTGAATAGTTTTTGGTTTAACAATAAGCCATAAGGTGAATTTTTTTTTTGTGAATTGCTTGKTCATGCCTAAATAAATTGAATAAACTTGATACTATAGATTATCCTAAAACATGAACATGAAAAATAAGAATAGTATATAACACTAAAATTTTTACTATAAAATAAGTGATTTTATTATGAGAATTAACTTAATTATTAAACAAATAATTGTACTATAGTAATGAAATTAATTAACTATACATGTAAATTACAATATTATATAAACTTTATTTCAGAACATCATAATGTATCTAAGTCAGAAATGTATGATGACAATACAATATCTTCTCCGTCAGACAAAGTAAAACCAAAAATAAGCTTTTCACCAATAGAAGCTATTAAGATTAAACATAACATAGTGGTAAATCAAAAAAGCACTGCTGTAAAACCTTTACAAAAAAATCATCCTGCAATTTTTATTAATCCTGGTTTTGTATCAAAACAAAGTATTAACAATGATAATGAAACAGTAGATGGTAAAAGAAAAAGACCTCGAATATCTATGAGCAGTGAYAATGAAGACAAGAAAAGTAACATATCTAAAGATAAACTTCCAATTACTAGTAAAGAACCAATTAAACAGATAGCAAAAAAGTTGCCAAATAACATTAACAAAAAAACCATGTCACAAGTTGTAGTTGTTAAAACTCATTGCGAAGTAAGTTTTACAATAATAACTATAATACATTGTTAATTGTAATATTAATTATTTGAAACTAATTTTCTTTTATTTATATTTTTTTTGTATGTAGAATAACTTAAAAGAAACCAGAAATAAATTAAATATGCACGATCTAATTGCACAGAGAGTAGATCATCAGCGCGGGGCTTTGGCCTTGGATACTGCATTCAAGTACATTCAGCAACAAATTGGTGCATCAGAAAAAGAAATTGCTGTTATAAAAAAGTGGAGGGATTATGCTGTAGACATGTTACGTCCCAACAAGAATGAATAGCATTTAAATTATGATATTTTTWCAAATTATTTTTATGGTTAATTATTTCATTACTGAAAATTATTCCTTCCAACATTACTTTAAAAGTATTTAAACTTTAAAATAAGTCAAGATTGTTTCCTAAAAAAGTAAAAACTACTTAAAAACCTAGAATATTATTAATGTTACATCTATTTGGTTAAAAGTGTAMAATGTATTTAAATATTTATTATAAGTTAAATATCTGCAAGTATTAACATACCATTAGAGTATGTTGTAAATTATTGTGTTTATAATAATTTGTAAATAGAAAGTGACCTGTTATTTTAAAAGACTGAAATCTATAAATAATAATTTTTTTAATCTTGGATGATCGTATTTATTTATGCAAGCATCTAGTTGTATGATTTTACAATGGTCCATAGTATATTAATTTGTTAGATTTGAATATGAATGAAAAAAGTATGTACAAAGTACCACACTTAGTTATAAAATAAATAAAGCCAACTATYCAATTTTCATCTAATATTGATCATGAGCTAAATGTAATATGTTCTAACATAATTMAAATTCAAACAYCATACAAAATATTTACTGCTTTGGTGTACCATTTGCTAACTATCTGCTTTGCTTTTTCAGCTACATTATATTTTTTTTTATAAAATRGTTTGAATTAAATTTTGAAATACTTAGGTTTATTTTTGTGTGCCACTGTGATCTGTGGTAGGTATAATTTATAAAATAGTTAATTACCCATAATATAGGTAATTAACTATGTTATATATTATTTATTAATATTACTAATCTTAGTATCGTGACATGTTCATATTATATTATGGAAAATATGTAAAGTTTTGTTCCATTTCAATGTTTATAATATTTTAAGAGGTGTAATAAAAAATATTTTCAGAGACTAAATAATATATCAAAAGGCAAAATGAAATTCTGATTTATTTTTATTCCTCTAGAATCCTTTCTATTATCCAACAAATGTTTATAATAAATTAAGATGATGGAGTAGTTCACCATGTTGGGTCCTATTCCACGTATTAATTTTTTTTTGTAAACATTGATTTCAGGTATATACTAAAAATATATTAAACAACAACAATATTATTTAATATTCATAATACTTAAAAATGTTTTTTTTATTCCTACCTAATACCTAAACTTAAATTAGTTTCATAAGTTATTGTTCTTTTCTTATTTACGAGTATAACATTTGCAACTTTCATATTCTTGAAAACTAAATTTGGAAATTTATAATTGAATTTTATTATTATAAGTATATGTATAACTATTATTCAGGGGTGGCTCTTCAGGGGAGACTGAGACTGCGTCTCCCCTTAAAAATAAACTAGCTACTTATAAATAATACAATTAATTAAAAATAATAATGTATAGAAATATTTTCATTTGTATTTAAAATATAGTTTTCATTGTTTATTATTATATTAAATTGAAAGTCACAAAATCGAAAACCTATTAATGGCTATCTCGATACTCTATAGAAATACTATTTTAGTCATTTCTGCGGGTCATTACGGCTCATTACAACGGTCGCCGGTTCAGTGAAACTGAAGCAGTGAAGCCCGTCAGTTGCAAACGCAGCATGTAATGGAATGGCTATGGTTGGTCGGAGGGAGCCGTGGAGAATAGGCTGCGTATCATAGACGCTTTTGAACCTGGCGGGGTTGGTAAATTGAGTTCCAAATGACCCTAACTCGGTAAATTGAGTCCCAGAAAAAATAAGGTAGTAGGTAATTTGAGTCCCATGGAAAAACGATTTATATGCATTTAAAATTTAAAAATTTGTACTATAAAATTTTTATTTGTGATTTGTAGACATTCATTGACTGCATGTATATGATTTTTATTGCATTATTATTAATTATGTAATTATTYTTTATGCAATAAAAATGCATGTTGCTATTTTCAAAATCATATACATGCAGTCAATGAATGTCCACAAATCACAAATAAAAATTTTATAGTGCACATTTTTAAATTTTAAATGCATATAAATCGTTTCTCCCTGGGATTCAAATTACCTACTGCCTTATTTTTTCCGGGACTCAACTTACCTACTACCTATTTTTCCCSGGGACTCGATTTACCGCTTTCAAAATGTACCAAACTTATCTCGGACTCAATTTACCTACCCCCGAACCTGGGTTCACGACAGTAATTGCCGTGCCGCTGCGCCGTGTATACCTGTATTTAACTAACTTCAATATTAAATGAAATATTAATATTTAATATAATTAATTTTTTCAATAAAAAGGTTTTTCTTAGTCGTTATTATTATGGAATTTATGTTATATAATTTAAGTCTCCCCAGAATATTTACTCACGAGCCGCTACTGCTATTATTAGGTACTTATAACTTATTGTAACTTCGTCGAGACAATCGTAGTATGATACATCCTATATTAGGTACCCGTAGAACYGAATGAGAACTTTTTTTTAAGCTTATTTGATCTTTGTAGTATATTATCTTTATCATTAATCTGTTTATTGTTTTTGGATGGTTTACATGATGAAGATTTATCATATCCGTCGATTTTTTTTTTTAAATAGGTAAACCTATCGATTCAACGCGTTATTCATTTCGTATTTTCGACAGCTCCTGTTAAACGTTTGTGCTATCAAGTCTCAATTTCACCGAGTCAAATTTTCGAGAAACTGTATGAATACCTAACGATTAGCCTTTAGTTTTAAACCGGTTATATTTTACTGAATACGTATTGCTATTGTATTAAAATAATTGATTTATAAGTTATAACGCCAGTCTGAACTCGAAGTTATACTAAGTTTAACAGCCAAGTTCATAAATGTGCAAATTAACAATTTTTTTTTCAATTTAGTTATACTTAATAGAAAAATATAAGTTAAATTAGAAGTTAAAAGTTACATGGTATATTTTTTTCARATTCTAAGCACTCTGACGAATGTACTTATTGATTTTAAAACHAAGYGAGTGGGTTTTTTTTTGTGTRTGTAAGTAAACCTACACGATTTGTAGAAGAAAAGTTGCTTCAGTTTTTAACTTCAATATATTTTTTTTCATATATTTAAACCTTGCCTATGGTCTTAAACTATACCTATTTAAAAATTCTAAAAATTAGATTTTGAATTTCAGTGTTATTAAAATTAATTGAGGACGGGCATGCTTGGCTATATGTTTATAATTACCTATAGTGTATATTATGTGTAAATTTTAAATATATTTATTGGCTTAAAAAAAATATCAGACTTTTGGGTACTTACCTATATTTTTTAATTTTAATATCATAATTCATAATACAAAACATAAAACATAATTTGAAAACAAATGAATCTGGTCTAAAGTTTGATTTCTTGGCTTAGGCAATAATTGAGAACAAGTTAAAAAATTGTCTGCAGCTGTAGGTAAYTTTAATTTCTGATGTACATTTATTAACATCATATTTGTCACAACACATCCGAGTTGTGTTCATAGATTTTTCAGCGACTGAGAATAAATTAATGTTTGGTGATAAACTCATAGATATCTCATCTGAAAATACCACCTTACAATTATTTATGRTTGGAAATTAATCTTATACACGTTAGCCTTACCATCAGTCACACTTCGACATTCAATCATCATATTTTAATTTTGACTTTACAATATAATAATGGAAAATCTTGAAATAATCAAAATATTAAGTGATAAAAAAGCAATTATATTGCATTAATGCCTAATGGATACATATTCGCTTTTCAAAAATTTTTAAATATTAATGTTGATATATAGATGTCCATGTTCAAATTTTATTTTAAAATTATCAAAAATAATGAAGTACCTACATTTTAATTTTTAGTTTGTCAATGCATAAAAAAATTAAATCATGAACTCGACAAAAATGACGAAATCGGTTAAAATCGTCAAAAACTCAATAGGTAACATATTAARACGTTAAGTTCATGTGAAAAGTCTTGCAAAATCAGCGCGAAGGAGATGTAAGTACATTGCCCATCACAGATATAAACCGGATATAAGGAAAGATATTCATTAGCAGTAATTTAAAACAGGACTGAGCGGCTTCTGTTATGACGCCCGATGATCGGCTGTTTGTTCTGCTATTTTAGTRGTAGGTGCTGTACTTGTTGGTATTTTCACTATTTTCGGATTAAATTTTACATGGTTAGAGAAACTATTCCAGTCTGGTTTGCCTTTAAATAATGAGTTGYTTGTACGGCGGAAAAGAGAGGGTGMGTTAATCGTTATTTTAACAGGTAGGTATATGTGATCCGAGTCGAGTTCGATGAGAGGTTCATGCACGCATAGGTACAAATGGGACAGATTTAATTATTAAAATGTCTGACATGTCGGGCAAACGGTTCTCTATCTGTTGGGAAGTACCTACCTAAGTATAGGTGTATTTGGAGCTGATATTGAAAAGGGTGTGTTTGCTATGAATGCTCGTAATTTAGGGCCATTTGCAGGATTTGTATAACACGGCATCCCCAGTTAATGTGTTTAGAATTTAAATCACCAGCAATTATAACTGAGTTATCTAAGACTCGTGACTTTTTCATAATCTGTAATAAGCATTTGGCGACTAGGAGGTTGATACACACTGACGAACGTTATATTATGCTTATTGTTTATTGTTTTTGGAAACTGCTACGGCTAAACGGCTTCTATATAGGTAGGTACGTCAGGACGAGCGTAGGCAATTATTGYTGTTTGATTTTGTTCCGTATAGGTACTAGAATAGTCACTCCGCCCATGGCACGAGATTGTGTACTACGATCAGCTTGATAAATTTTGTTGCCTGGGAATWTAATTTTATCTGTATGTGAYTTATGCGTTTCAGTAATGCATGCGATATAAATCTTGTGATAATTAAGAAAAGCTAGTAATGTATTTTTTTTGATTTTTAAGACCGTTAGCATTCCAGTTTAATAATAAGGTATTGTAGAGCTCCATTAGTGTTGAAGTTTAAGCTGTTAATGATGACTGGCAGGTTTTGTATTATTTTCTGCATTAATTGGGTAACAAATGTGTTAATTATAGTGGTAAAAGAGTTTTCAAAAGTCGTAATCGTTATCTGTGGACTGTGGAATTGGTTGATTTGCCTTTATAATTATTGTTTAAATGTATATTTTGAGTATTTGCGTTGGGTATTGTAATAGTGTGATTTTTGTTATGGGATAGATATATATATACTAGTTTTATTTTTATTTTTGGTTCTTGATATTTCTTTGTAAAAAGTACTCCCTCTATAATTAGCTGGATGATCACTATCACAGTTAACACTTTTTTGTTGGTTTCTTACATTGACTGTAGTGATGATCACCCGCACATTAGACACAATGACACACCTTGATGGTAGATGGYAAAACTTTTTTGTGTGGAAAAATCTTTGACAATTTGTACATTGTAGGATATCCTTGGAGGGTTTACGTGGTTCTACTATTATTATACAATGTAGTAGTCTATTTAAAGAAAATATTTCWGTAGACGATTTTGATAATAAAACTGCTACGGTTGGGATTGGCGATTTGAACTGTTTTTGAAGGCGTGTGACTGAAGCGACTTCAAATTTAAGTTCATTGTAAATACAAGCTTCAGGTATGTAGATTTCTAATGACTACTGAAAGTTGTTTATTTTCAGGAAATTGGTATGTGTGGTATTCAATTGCGGTCTCGTCGAATTGTCGAAAAGTTTAGTTTCGGTTCTATTGTCGTCAATCGAGTTTAAATTAATTTTTAGGACAGATTTTGTACTTAAAATTGGAGAAATTGTCAAGTGTTATATT